CGCGGAAAGGTCTCGTAAGGGGCGCATGGGAGCCTTGACCTATCAGCGCGTCCCAGCATTCCACTCCGCCCGCGCACCTCCGCCTATCAGATGGCGCCTGCGCAGCGGCGTGTTGCTCAATTGTTCCCCCCCCCCTCGCCCGGCGTCTCACCCCGCTACTTCCAGCATAGACAATCTTGTGGTATCTGATGTCATGCTGGAATTCAAAATGAAGCAACTTGGATTTTCTAAGGTGTTCGTAACATTGGGATAAATTAAGGATCTAAGTTCCTTCTGAGAAACCACAGAGTTGTTTTTTTCTTTTTTAATGAAGGCATATTACACGTTAACTTGCAGACGTTATGGCGATAGTAATGACAAGGTATTTCGTCGGTTCAATAATGGAAGAAAAATATAGCTAGTGATGCTACAGATTGGCACTAACTCTCATTTACAGTTTCTTTCCTATTCTCTTCGGCGTCTAAGAGACCACTAAGGTCTCTCACAGTACTTACCGATTCTCTGGTATGAGGCGAACAGCACGCACGCACCTCCGAACATTGAAAAAAGTACGAATAGTTTAGACGCTAAGGTTGTGTTCAAGCAGACGGATGGACGTTTTGAAAATAAATAAACAATTTTCGACATCAGGGTATTCTGACTACGGGTATTTCAGTTAAAATCTCAAAATCAGTTTTCTGAATAATTACTTAACTTTCTATATAGCTACATTACTCCATATACAAATACGTACACGAGAAAGTAAAAGTGATAGAAACAATACAACTAAAAACTGATACGAAGTGTGTGGAAAGTGCATAAGTGTATAAATCTGTCAGTAAGTAATGTATATAACATTAAAAAGTAAGAATTTCCATAAAACTGATAATAGTTAAAAATTAAGTTAGTAGTATTGCGTGATGGAAATGCTAAAAGACATTGAGTAGAAACCGTGTTATTATTGTCATACAACATCTCTTTAGCTCCGGTTCACCTGAAGGCAGGAGAGCCAACCCTGCACTGGCAGGATGCCCTTGCCCTTTAGGGAGCTAATGTGACATACATCAATCAATCAATATATTTGGTGAAATTAAATAACCACTCTATTGGAAATTTTATTCTGCAGTTCATTCGCGGAACTTAACTTTAATAATAAAAACTAAATTAATTTCTAGCTGCGCACGTCATGCTTGTTCAGACGAAAAGAAATGTTCGATTGAAAGTGGATTAAAACATAAGCGTGTAAAATAAATTCCCATTTCACCTCAGTTCATGATACAAGATCTAGAATTCTTAGATTAGTAATTCTAAAACGTACTACTCACGCGAAATACCTGACATCGTCATTGATAGGTGACATGCCGTGGGAAGAAAGGCTGTTTCCAGACATGCAAATGAATACAGTGTTCTCCTTTTCCTCGTCCTAACAGCATTGAAATAGTGTTCACAAAAACGTCATACTTTCCACAACAGCCTAGACTGAATCCTTTCATATACAACGTAAATGGCTATAGGGAAAATGTCATAGCCTAAAAAGAAGAAATCCTTCACTGTTCTCTAACTGGAAGAAATTTCAATAACCAACCGCCACGGTGACATTCTCAGAATATTGTTAGCGTTGCAGTTAGAGAAAGGTTTTGACTGCTTGCTAACTTTTCCTCGATCCCGATCGAGATGGATGAAATAATCGTAGTACATTTAAATCCTCCAACAATCCCAGCCTTCATTAGGTCCCAAACACTCATAGCCTGGAAACGGAGCAAGCGATGGCTAAATATGATACTCTGTTGTGTGAGTCCCTGGCAGTAAAAAAAGGAGTCAAAATTAGTTTTTAGATGCCAAAAAGGAGTGCAAAATAAATTCCTAAGAATGCACGGATGAGCAAGTGGATCAGCTTTTATAGTCCCAGTAATGGAAACAACAGTAGCAACAACTCTGACACAATAAGAAGAAACCCAAATCTTGATATGGGCTGCGAAGCATTTAGTGAAGGCGGCCCGACCTCGTGATCTAAAAAAGCCGCTATTCAGCCGGCGCCAAATTAAGCGGCTCATTGTGCTCGCGAGGAGGTTCCCACGAGCGCCGCGCCGCCGCCGCCCGTCCTCCATCTGCTTGTCCAACAGCGGCGCGCCGCCCTTGCGCCGCCGCCGCCGCCGCCACCGCCGCCCGGGAGGAAAAGGCCGGGCGGCTCCCGTGCGGCGCGCGGGCGCGGGCGCCCGGGGTGGGTGGGAGAGAGCGCCCAGAGGTCACTTCCACGGAAGCGAAAGCCCCGTGGCCGCGGCGACCTTGCGCCGAGCCGCTCTCCTTTCTCCGCCCGCTGGCGGAGCAGGGAAGAACGCGGCGCGGGCGGAGCCCTGTGGGCCATAACCGCCAACCAGCGGGCGGAAATAATGCACGGTCGAGTTGATGGCGGCGCGGATGAGTTTAACTCAGAGACAGCGTTGCCGCTATCTATCAGCATTGGCGAAGATCTCAAGCACAAAGTTCAGTCCAGGCCACAGAGAACAGATGTTGGAAAATTTTCCTTGACAAATAGAACAATAACGGACTGAAATGAGTTGGCTGCGACAGCCATGAAACCCTTTCCCTTAGGTGAAAAAAGTTTTAAAAGTATATTACTAAGTACATTCGTGAAATGTATTAATTAGAAACTTAGGCTTATTAAAATAGTTATTATTTTATTATAATTGATATTTTTATTATTAGTATTGTGATAATTACCATTAAATGGATTGCTGTATTAAGTATATAATTATCTTTAAAGTAGCTGTTGAATTGGAGTGTTGTGAAGTGTAGTGCAATAGAGAAGTAGAAAGAGAATTGAAGTGAAACTGTAATGAAGTGAAGTGAAGTGCAGTGTATTTAAAAAGTGTATTTGTTAAAATATATGTGCAGGATAGTCATAAAATTTAGTGTTAATGCTGTTATTGTTATTATTGTGTTTATTGTTATCATATTATTACTATTCTTGCCTTCAAATGTTTTGAAAATACTTTCTATCAATATTCATAACTGTAATATGTTAATTGTAGTGTTCTGTCACCAGGTTGTATAAACCTACCTGCATAAATAATAAATATATCTAATCTATCTATCTCCGCAGCGATTCTGGCCAGTATGTCCTAAAGTTCGATCTTACACGATGGAGAATTTTCGTTACTAGCTAGATGGCTATGTTGAATTCAGCCCGTGCCTGGAGAAGAATTCTAGCGGCCGATTGCTATGATTGGTAGTTTTCCGTGATTTCTTCGGTCAATACCAGGAGAATGCAGGAACATTACTCGAACAATCGAACCATAAAACGCGCGCGATCTTCCCTTTCTATTCCTTTTCGTATAATCTTCCTGAGATCACACACACTTATACTTTTATGCACTAACTCCACACACGTCGGTAGGACAGACGCCGGGAGGATAGAGCCTGAAGCAGCTGGTGCTCCGTTGGAGGAGATACTAGGAGGGGAAATTCTCACAAGCTGTTGTGTAGGTTCTAAGGTGATTCTGTTGGTTGAAAAGAAAGATATCACTCGCAGGTATCTATAAAATGTTCTTCTGAATCATCTAAATTTCACTGATTGTTCCTTCAACTCTAAAATGAACGCAACTCTTGATTCTTCAAATTTAACATAAAATTCTAGTAGTCGATATCAAAAAAACCAAAAACTTCACAATTATTTTAACAATTTTATTATTTTATTAAAGTTCTTAAAATTACTCTCAATATAAGAGTAGGCAAAGAAACTTTTAAGGATTCAAATTAAAACAATGTATTATTTTAGTTAAATGATATCAATGCGTTCAAAATTTTTAAAATATTTAATTTTAATTGTTAAATATTTTCCGTGCAAACTAAAATTATCAGTTAACCTGCTCAAAAAAGTCCATGTTAATAAAAATAAATTGAATTTATCACTACTTTGTTATGTAAGTTCTTCCTCACATTCTATTTCTGTGAGAAAATCCTCCGCCGATTGCAAAAACGTAATTTAAGAAGAATATACATCGCTTTTGACTTGTATTTGAAACTTTTCTTAACCCTACAGCATGTTGACAAAATCAACATACAAATAAAATATTATTATCTCTTTTGTAAACATGAGAGAAAAAAGTATAAAAGGGATAGTGAGTAACATTAATTTTCTTGTGCAAACAACAAAGATAGAAGTAAATATAAACTCTGGGCTTAAACAACAATACTACTCACAGATTTTTCAGAATTAAAAATATGATAACACATTATTTTAATTTGTCCATTAATGAAATAGAAAATTAACCGGTAACACAGATGATCGATTATTTATTACATGTGACAGTCTGTGTCACACTAGCGTTACGTTGAAGATAAGGAGCGTACGTCATATATTAACACTGTATCTAATGCGGAACGACCAAAGCGCTCGTGTCGTTTCACATAAGACAGTGTTATTTTACGACAGGGGTTACTTTTCGCGTGACAACGCATCGCTGGTGTGCAGGGGCCATATTTTAGAGCCCTTAAGGGCCATATTTTTGACCGCATTCTTGGGGCGATCAATCCCGGCCCTATTTTGTTTTAATTTGCCCTCAAATAGCCTTCATGATAACCCTCATGGGGTAGAAAGGAATATGAAGGTAATAAGTTACTAAAACCATCATAGTACCTCTAAATTATTTAATGAAGGTTAGAACTACAAGATCCTTATGAGTACTACGAACGTTTTGTTCCAAATACATAAAGAGAACGGCCCACTGCGTGCAAGTGATGATGCGATCGGCGCGTGGGCAGGCTTGGCGAAAGCGCTCTGCATTCGCTGCAGTGCCCGATGAGCGCCTGTTTCGACAAACAACCAGCGCGCGGCGCGGCTCAACGAGTCGCCACGTGATTGCCCTGCTATGCGTCCCTCCACCTCTTGAAAACCTCGGGATTTCATCACAAGATTAGGAACAGCGATTGTCCGAGGACAAGGCACTTCTGTACAATTTCTTTTCAAGGTGTGAAAACCGCCACCCCTTTTGTAAATGATGAGAATTACAGTCCTGATTTCAATCTTTCCATTTTTCATTGGGAAGTACAATGGCTGGACATTTTCCTTGGTTTTTTTTGTACAAAAATTCACTTGCAATGTCCGCATCACCCATGCATCTTTTGAACGTCAAGACAATTTGAATGCTTTTGCCATTATGTTTCTGTAAACCCAAGTTTCCTCTGTCAATAAAAAATAGATTGTTGATGTTAAAAACTGAATTTGCAATTTTTGTTACAGAGCACATACCTACGTGATGTGCGAAAAGTAATAATATGACTTTTAAGAAACAAGTCATCGAGGGCGGATCTTGGTTGATAGTACCTTTACTTTTACCCACTTACAAGTGGTCAACATATTACTGACATTGAACTGTTAACTACATTAAAAAGATTGTTCCCTATTGTGAGGGTTGATATTCGAGTTTTTACGTTCCGTTATGCGATTTCCTTCTCCATATCAACACCACTCTCGCTGTTAATGAACATCTAACCGATGTTCTAGGAGTTAGTAATCATAATCGTTAACTATAAAAAAGAGAGCAGAAAGAATAGAAAGCCATTAAAAATGACAAGAACTCATTATTTCATTTATTTGTTTGACTTTTTCAGATAAAAAGTATTCAAGGTATACATATCAATATCATTACACATTTTAATGTGTTATAAACATCGTCCATTACTTCCAAAGTGAAAACATTGATGAGTTTTCGAAAGCGCGGTAAGTGTCCCATCAATTAATATTACAAAAGGGATATTCGACATTAATCGTGATTATTGCAAATATGAAACACACCAGTCTTCTCGTCATCCTTTCTTCCGCACACAACCTTCTAGTGTTCGTAACTGACAAGGTATTACGATTCTTTCCTACCGTGTGACTGGCTTCAAAGAAAGTAAAATCTCGTAGCATTGGATGCCAAATCAGTGCAGGCAAACAGCCAATGAGAAAGTTCTGCTGCCTTAACGACATGTAGAAACAAACTATTGAATGGAAACTTGCTCTCGTTCTGCGTATTCCGACGACACAAACACACACACAAGCACACGCACACACATACCCATACGAATACACACTAACTCTACACATTAGTATTTGGTTACAGCTCTTCAAGATCTATTGAATACAGAAACAATGAACAAATACGGTTTTGTGCATCCGTTGGTTTTTGTTAAAAACTATGTTCTATACGACTTCTTTACGGCATGCCCCCAGGCGACAGTGTGGAGTCCGTTCTTCTTTCGTTTTTACCTGAGATCGTACGCACTTTCTACGCATTCTCGACGGTCACCGCGCACTAATTCTTTAAAACAAATCTCCCACAATTTTCTCGCTTTTCACGACAGAATTCGCAAGAGTTCCCTTGTTATGTGGGGGTTACGTACCATGAGTGAAAATAATGAACTGGCAAGTATGTTTTCTCTCACTAACAAGAAAGTAATTTAAATACAATATATGAGTGCCAGTGAAATTCTATGAAATACATCTATATCGAATTATTTTCGAGCATCGAATTTCACGCTATAAATATGATAATTTAATTATAGGTGGCCAAACTTTTAATGGTACGGAAGTAGGTGAAAGTGAACAAGAAAGAATTCGTTTGCACCCAGGTCCGTATACTACAATTTCCAACTCCGATTTCCAACAGCATCTCCACTTTTGTTTGCGAATTACTCCCAGCGACGAAAGCATAATTGCTAAATAATGTCTAAGCGAAGTCACATTTGTTTTTATTTTTCGCATACTAATATTCCTCTTTATTTCTTTTGTTATTTCTTTCTTTCGTTCTTTAATCATCAACGTTCTTTAATCTAATTGCATGTTAATAGCATAAAAATAGATTTTTAAATTTAAAAAAAGTAAATAGAGCAATCCTCATGACCAGGTTTACAAGAAGTTTAGATTTAGGGCTTGGAAACCTTTCTTAAGCAATTCACTTAAGAACCTCACTTAAGCAAGTTACAAAGTCATGTACTGAACCATGTTTCTTCCTTCGACAAGCGTCACTGACTCATTACTTTGAGATGCATTGAGAACTGTGAACTGAGAACCGAGAACTGCTTCGTCTAATATTACCACTTTGTATCCAACAAAGAAAACTCTTTCGTAAAATACAATTAATGACAATGCAAGATTAAATACCATAACATATTAATGCTGTTTCGATTAAAAAATATCAAATCTTGAAACACACATGTTAGTACTAGAACAAATATTGCCCAGAAAACGCTATGAGTTTTAACAATTTCCCTCACAGATCTCGAAATTTGCAATTTTAAAGTAATATTGTGTAAACACTTCAAAATTTATAAATCATACCATTAGTAATTTGTTGTAATTTCTGTTCAATTTCGTCGTTTCAATTTCTGTCGTTTTTCGACCCTCAATCTTACAAGAATATACGATACACACGAATTTAAAAAAATAAAAGGCTGATCAATCGGCTTCAATGAAGAATGGAATATGTTAAATGGATATCTAATGGATAATAAACAACAAAAATCACATATTTTACATTTTTGCCAAAATCTGCATGTTCGCGAACGAAACGTAAATAATAGGGTCTATTTCATAAGGACAATTTCAGCCCAGTGAAGGACAACCTCTATTTCTCGTTTCACGTCCGATCAATGTCAGTGTTTGATTCTAAAGCAGAAACACTGAAATAACTAGCAATTACAGAACTACACAAAGATGAAAATAATTCAATGAGACATAACATTCATATCAAATTATATTGCCGGTGCACAAGCTTCACATCACATCGTCACAACAAAAACTGTCGATTTTCTGGAGTATGGTTTTAACGGGAGTAGAGCCATTTATTTCGCAATCAAAGAAAAAGTGTTGTTTTCTACGTAAATATACCGTCTAGAGAACTGTTTTTATAACAATTTTCATAATAAAAATAGAGTATTTTTAAGCACATGTCTTTAACACCGATATAACAATTTTTGAGATGTGATTCTTTTCTTGTACTCAGGCGATGTAACAGACGAGAAACGAAAATATACTCTGTGATCCAGTGAACTGAAACGTAGAGAGTCGAAAGGGAGGGAGGTACTCACTGCCAAGCGGCGGACGAGGCATCGCGCGGGAGCGACGAGCGGCCGGGCTGCCGGAAGTAGAGCAGCATGCGGCGCAGGCGCGCGGGCGGGGAGCCCGCGGGGGTGGGCGGCAACTCGTCCTTCTTCTCCTCTTCCTCCTCCCCCTCCCCCTCCCGCGCGCGACTCCCTTTCCTCTCCGCAGCGGCGTCCGCGACCACGTCGCTCTTGGCGTCGGCGTCCGCGCTGTCCGCGAGGGAGGCGGTGGAGACGCCGCTGTCGACGCCGGCGTCGGCGCCCGCGGGCGTCGCGCGTCGCGGCCGCCGCGGCGTCCGGCGCGCCGCCAGCAGCAGAGCCTCGAACATCCCGCCTTGGCGACAGCGCTCGCCTTTCGCTTCCGCTGATCCTTCCGTTCGCCCGGAGCCGTTCACGCAGCAGCCGTTCGAGGAGGTGGAGCTCCGGCGACTGCCGCTGCTGCGCTTCCGAACAACCTGTGATTCCGGTCCGCGTCTACCTTCGCGCCGCCGCGCTCGCACCCGTCACTGAAATGAGTCCCGAAGGAACCGGGACACTGGAAAGCTACGTGGACTGATTCTGGAGTCGAAAGTCAGTCAAAGAGATGTCTGAGATTGTGGTCGGTGTAGTTCCGGATGAATACCCGACAATTCAATGTAACTATCAACCACTTCAAATCACTGCACGTTCACTTCACTCTTTCGTACAAAATATTATTTCCCTGAAATGTGCGCTTTTAAAATAATTTAATATTCTTTTACACACGCATTAATTGTTTTACCATCAATATTATTATTCACATGTGTTCTGTACACACAAGTAACAGTACTCGCTGTCTGTAGATTTGTGATGGCCTTTACCTCTTCAACCCGCAATTAACTAACACTTTTTCGCACAAACACAAAATCAGCACTATTCAGATTCGTTGTTCCAGGAGGGAATTACGGCTCGGCAGGAACGTCAACTCACTTGTCATGCGCCAGTGATCGCAGTAATTACGCTCTTGGATGATTGGTCACCACAGGAGCTGACTTCAAGAGGGAATTGAAAGCAGGTGAAGTCTGTTGGCTGCTGCTTCCGAGGTTCGGGAAATTCCAAGACGTAACCACTCTCTTGGATGATTGGACTATTTTGTTGGCACAGTAACCTAATTCACCAGGGCATTTGCAGTGGTTGCTTCAGGTCTGCTCGTTGCTACTTCCAAGTTTCGTCCCTAATTCAAGGAGATTTGTAGA